ACTTATATAGCCCCTGTGACCTCATTCACCTGGGCCAGCGGAGGTCAGCCCCAGTTGGCTGTCAGCCAACCAATCTGAAATGCATCACCTGTTACCGGGCAGATTCCAGCTCCCCAGGTAGAAACCCCTTACCCAGGTAAGTGATGCAAGTCACGTAAGCAGAGGGAGCAGGTTTCCCCCTCCCTCAGGAATGCAGCCAGCTCCAGTTCCCTAAAGAGCCAGGCTGAGGGTCTGGTCCCCTGTGTGCTGGGCCCACCCTAATTGAATGGTCACAGCACAGAGATTTAAATCACAGTGTCACAGGGCAGAGATTTTTGGGGAGAAACCAAGGTGGCTTTCTGCCACACCTGGCCCAATATGGAATTGGACTTTTTGGCTCCTTTGGGTGTATGCACACCAAAAATGTCTGGGTCTTGCTGTGCCTTGAATGATATTATAGGTGTAAGTGGCATAACTTTTATATTCATTTTGAAAATTGGGCTCCTCACATTCACTTTGCTCAGGCCAAATGATACTGTTTAACGCATCCCCCGTGATTTGTGAATCCCAAGGCTGTGTGGTCTTAAGTAAGTTTTAGTAGCTTTGCAGATTTGCATGAAAACATGTTCTAGAAAGTTCACTCTATTCGTGTATCAGCTGTGCAATTTTAGCCTAGCGTGAGAGTGCTGTTTATTGTAGATTTTGACCTTGAACACTGCAATAACTGATTAAAACACATACAAAACACTATCATTTAACCTATTTTCTATAACAGTTTATATTTACTGTTTAAAGAATAACGCAGTACCGTACAGTACACAAGAACTGTTACAGCCTTAAACAGGTGTGAACAGACAGATGTAGCTTATATAATCAATTGCCTAGAAAACTAGAAGTTAATATGTTTCTTTATATATATACTTAACATATTCCTTTCTCTGTAAAAACCAGTGGCCAGATTAGCAATTTGTGTAAATCAGCATAGCTCCTTTGACCTCAGCTGTCCTATATCAGTTTATACTGTGTCAGGATGCAGCTCCAGATTTGTAAATATTTTTCTATGTTGCTCTATTATAATCTTTCTGACCAAGATTTTTGAGCTCCCAAAGAAGGGATGGATCCAAAACAATATCCTTTTAAGGGTTTGCACACTGCTTAGTGCACGGTCAGAGAACAAAGGGAGTTTAGCTGACATTTGATGAATATCCATATAGTATAGACCTGAACAATAAAAAAATCAGTTTGATAACTATCATGCCTCAGTGCTTTAAGAAATTCCTAGTAGTTTAAGATAAAACAGACAATTCTTTGTAGTGGAATTTGAAAGCCACATCCTTTTCTTGAGGAAAAAAATATCTATTCCCCATATTTTTATTTGGTTTGTTTTGAAACGGAAAGAAATTGTGTTGCACCCCTCCCAAAAAATGTAGGCATGCATTTTGTAAGGTAAACTTGCAAGCAAAGCAGCTGGACTTCAGGCATGCTAAAAATTTACTAGTACACCTGTAGTCAGTGTCTGTATGGGCAACAGATACTTTTCCAAAAGATTTTTAAAAGGTCAGAGACCAAATAAAATGGAGAATCTGGTTGACTGCCCTGAGTATAATGTATATGTTAGCTCACAGTTAAATCTCCTTTTTGTTTTGTAGCAGACTCCCAGGCATCACATTCAGTGCTTTTTTTCTCTTGCCCAGTAACAGATATAGAATAGAGGTCTCCCTCTTTTCCCTCCAAGTTGGTGATTAGGAATTTAGCTCTAATACCTAGTACGGCAGGGTTGTAAGGCTCTTATTACCAGCTTTCTTTTCTGATTCTTTTCCCTTTTATAACACCATCCCTGCTTGCATTTGTGAACATTGGACTGAATCTTAGGTTTGGAATACTGTCTGCTTTCAGTAAGATTGCAACACCTCTTTATAATCTGCTGCTCCAGAGATAATAAATGATAACAGTCTAAGTAGAATCAGTTTCTCTGATACATACTGCGTGTGATCTTATCAAATCAGGCAGACAAAAATATTACAGTGTGAGTATTTATCATCAACATAAAATTAATTTACTTTCTCTGAAGATGTTGGAAAGTAGAATCTGTTTGCGATGCTTTACAATTCATCTCTGTTACACGTACACCCATGTCATGATGAAATGGGATTTTTATTTTAAATTTTGACCTGCACTATGATATTTTTGTAAACGAATTGAACTGGACATTAATGATTAATCAGCAACACAAATCTCTGGTAAATAAAACCTTTACCCCTTCAATTTTCAGAACACCAGGCACACTACAATGTCAGCCCCCAGCCAGGAACTTAACAGGGAGAAAAACAATAGTGTGTAAAAGGCATTTAGCTCCAAGTGGCATTTTACCATATTGTGCAGCATATACTTCCAATATTAGCTGTATTATATTGACTAATTGATCTGTTTCATTTCAGAAATGGCTACTGGGCAAAATCATTTTAAACTTCAAACCATTTTATGATCACTCAGGGCAAAGAGAATGTAAATATACTACTCTAAAATGAATATTTTGACATTAAAAATTGCCTTATTTGTTTGGTAGTGCAGTACCCATTGGCTTTGAATTAGGGCTGCTGGCAGATGTGGCAAAAAACCAAAATTGCTTTACTGGAAGATGCAGCATGTAAATTAAACTCAGCTCTGCAACATCTGTATAGATTGGGCGCTTCAGCAGGGCTTTTTGGCAGTTTTGTCTAAAGCTGATAAAAGCATCCAAAAAGTCCCACTGACGTGCCAGGTCTGTACAGATGTTGGGTGAGCTGGGTCCAACTAACACGATCCCTCTTCTGGGCTCGGTGTGGGGTTGTGCCAAGTTTCAAGTAAAATACTGGGGGGGGGTCTTTTTTCTTTATGCCTGTAAGCAGTCTATGTCTCAGTTCTGTTGCATACATTTAAATCACCTGCATATCATCTTTACTCTGATACATGATGGCTGAATTGTCAGGTGGATGTTGCTGAATACTGGAACTATAATGTTTCGAAAATTTGCAAATGCTAGGGTGTGATTTTTATTTGATTAGGTTCACGCCCTTTCACATTCATAGGTTTATGAAGCTTAGCAAATGATGGGTTTGATTTAGTAAAATTACTATATTCAATAGGAAATGGATTTAGTACTTCATGATGGACTGTGTTTATACAGTGGATGAACAATATTGTACCTTGAATGCCAACATCAAATAATTAACAAATAATCAATTAGCTTTCCTTTGGTCCATTTTTAAACACTGAATAGATTTGCATACAGCACGACTGATTCAGAGATGCTTTACTAAGCAAATAAAAAACCAAAAGTTTTTATCTGGTGAATAATTGCTTAACCTTTTCTACAGGTAACTGTTGCAATATAAAGTAATACAAATATATTCATGGTGAATATGACAAAGAGAAGCTTTTTAGAAATATTCCATGGTTAGAAGAATATCTCCAAGTTCTGAAATTCAACAAAAATCAAAGTGCTTCCTGAGGAGAAATAAAACAGTCACAGGTGAAGAAGAGTATGGCTGGTTTGGATGAGGATAACCAATACTAGGGCTGTGTGAAGCTTCCGGTGCTGATTCAATTCGGAGGAAATTTGGCCTGATTTAGCAGCCAAATCTCCAAATCCGAATCAAATCGGGAGACTAATAAAAAGGTCCAAATTGATTTGGAAAAAGCTTCATAGAGCTTTGAAGATTTAGGTAGTCCCCACTTGCTGCCGCAGGGAGCTGGACTCAGACTCTGTGCCTAAGTAGGGGGCAAGGAGGGGGCAGGGAAGGGGGGATACTATGGGGGGACCCCCGCCACGCCCTATCCCCTGCCTGCTCCCTCAGCCCCCCGAAGACCCCCTGACACCCACCTGTTCATCCAGCCCCATCGATGGCTGCCTGGCCCAGCCCCAGCATCCTGGTGCTTAAAAAAAGCCCCACACTCGCTGCTGCAGTGGCCATCGGGGCTTCTGGGGGCTCATGACAGAGCCCCACTATGTAGTGCACGGCAGTGGGAGGGCAGCAGGGACACCCCCCCGCCTAGCAGGATCAGGTGAATGCAGGGCTTTTTTTTTTTAAAAGAACCAATCAGCCGAATCTGAATCCGAAGTGAATACTAGCTGCTTCGCACAGGCCTAACCAATACTGTACCACTCTAGTTTTGGTCCTGGTGTCCTTAATATTAAATGTCAACTGGAACTCTGTGGGCTGCTTTCTGACTAGGTGCAGGAGTGTGAAACCTGTGTCAGATACAAGGGTTGGTGCATAGGAGAGGGACAGCCAAAATAACTTTGCATCCAAACCAGCTGTGTAGCTTGGGTATTCTGCTATCAAGGCATGTTCTATGCATGTTATGACTTTAGAAAAATCTGAGTCGCATAGTCTTTTCATTGATAATCTTTGTGCTCTAATATCTGCAAGGAGAGACAAATAAGCCCTTGAAAGTTCATGCAATACTCTCTAATAAAACAACAGAAAGATACATCCCCACTGTAGCCGAAGGTGTAGCTACAGATTGTGTAGACATACTCAAAGCTCCAAATTGATTCAAAGCATCCAAATTGATTTGGAAAAGCTTCAGAAAAGATTTGGCTGATTCAGAGATTTGGCCATAGACTAA